CAGGGCTGTGCAGTGGTAGCCAGCCTCCCACAAGCAGGGCGGAACACTCTCTGACGGCTCCTGGGCTTCCAGGAGTGTTATTCTGAAATTGTCAGTGTGAATCCTTCCTGGGCGCTGGCAGTTACCATCAGTAGGGAACACACTCCAATGAAGCGGAAGACCTGCTGAGAGGTCTCCCTGAGGCTGATGGTGTTTCCCTGACTGAGTCAGTAGAGCTGCCCTCTGATCCAGCAGAATGGCTCAGTGCAGTCTCCCCCTAATTGGACACTGATCAAGTAGTTGGGCACAAGGGTCTCAGCTTTTCTGGGGCACTGACAAATTAAGCACTAAGTGGCAAATAAATCTCCTCACACTAAGAGTTGAGGAAGCCTCCTGCTTTCACATGACAGCACCAAAGGGGGGAATTGTGGCAAAGCCTGGGGACAACTGTCTGACCCTCTGGCATCTGTAACTCCTGTTTGAGATGCCTCGGGCACTGTGCTTACTGAACAAGCCCATGGATGCATTTGCACAGGTCTCCTTATGTCTTCCATGAATGCCTACACTTGTAAAGAAAGAAATGAATGCACAAGTGCTCAGAAGAACAACACCCATGTTTATTCACATGGTGGTAGAGCTGGGAGTGCAGGGAAGGAGTTTTTCATCATGTCTTGGGAAAGTCCATCTCAGCAGTGCAGTTTCTGGTGCACTGTTTCCTTTTCCTCAGATACAATTAATTGACTGTTATGTATTACTGCAATGTTATTGTGAAACTCCCTAAGCATCATGAAGTATCCATGTGGTTCAGTTCTGCTTTTCCATGTTCAAACTGCAGTTGTTTCAGTGCCCATGGTGTTTCTTTGTCATGGTTTAACCACCAATGGTTAACTAAGCATCACATGAGGGGCTTGATCCTTTGCCCCTCATTGAACTGGGAGAGAATTGGAAGAGTAAAAGTAAGAAAATTAATGCGTTTAGCACATAACACTTTAATAAATAAAGCAAACGCTGCATGTATGAGCAAAGCAAAGCAAGGAATTCAGTGACTACTTCCCATCCAAAGCCAAGAGTTCAACCTGTTCCAGAAAAGCAGAGATCCATCATGGTTAATGGTTACATGGTTTAATGATTACATGGAAATAAAAATGCCATCACTCAATATCCCCGCTTTCCTTCTTCTTCCCTGTCTTTATATGCTGAGCATGATGTCCTAAGGCCTGGAATCCCTCTTTGGTCAGCTAGGGTCAGCTGAACCAGCTGTGTTCTCTCCCACATTTTGTGTACCCTCAGCTACTCACTGGTGGGTGGAATGAGGAGCAGAAGAGGCCTTCTCTCCATGTAAGCACTGATCAGCAATAACTCAAACACCCCTGAATTACCAACACTCTTTCCAGCACAGATTCAAAACACAGTCCCATTCCTGCTACTATGAAGAAAATTAACTGTACTCACTGGCTTTCTGCTGTCCCTATTCCAGTCTCTGCCCCTGCCTGTCCCTCTCCCCTCCTGGGCTGAGCCACATCTGAGGCTCCATGGGAGCCCCAGAGAAGCTGAGCAGAGCTGCCCTTCCAGGGTTTTGTCTTTGCTCCAGGGTATTCTGAGCTGGGAAGAGCTGGTGTAGTCTGGGCTTTCAGAACAACAAATGCTGAGGTAAAATCTCACAGTCTCAGGCAGGACACATTCTTCTAAGCATCAGTATTGCAATTAGCAAGGAGGAGGATTTAGGAAGCAGGGGTGGGAGGTCCTGCAGAAACCAGAGCAGATATTCCCCAGCTGCCCAAGGTTGAAAGCCAAGGTTTGTCCCTCTCACTTAGTGGGGGATAGGTGGTGGAGCAAATATTGACTATGCAGACAGTGCAGGAACCACCGTGAAGACCAGGATGGTGCAGGTGATGTCAGGTGATGGTGGAGCAGATACTGACCCTACATCCCAAAGTGTTCCCCACACAGAAGCAACTGAATATGTCCTGAACAGGTCTGGGACTCCATGTAGAGCTCATGCTGGAGCCGGTTTCTGACAGGAACTGTGGTCTCATGGAAAAAGTAGCCCATGTCATAGCAGCTTCTCTGGGAGAACCTGCAGGGATCCACACTGAAGAAGTCTATTCCTGAGGGACTGCAAGGTGAACTACAGACCTACACTGGAGGAATTTAAGAAGAACTGTAGTCAATGCAAAAAAAAAAAAAGAAAGCTGAAAAATTCTTAGAGAAATGTCTCGTCTGGCATGGACTCCACACTCTGGAGAAGTGCATGAGAAGGAAGAAGTGGCAGAGAAAATGGTTTATGAACTGATGGTTGCATTCCCCATTTCTGTGCAATGACTGGGTAGACGAGAGGTTTTTAGATGTGTCCATTTTTTTTCTCATTATCCTACTCTGATTTGATTCACAAAAAAATTAAATTAATTTCTCCCAGTCCACGTATTTGCCCATGGTAGCGCTCCTACGAAATGTCCATGTCCTTATCTCAACCCACAAGCCTTAGCGGCATTATTTTCCCTCTGTCTAACTGAGGAGTAGGGGCACTGAGACAGCAGCTTGCTGAGCCCCTGGAGGACAAGCAAAGTCAACTCACCACACTGTCTCAACTCCTTCTTCCTGGTCAGGTGCTCTGTAGCAGCCACCCTGTAGAGCAATGTCAATCAATGTAGAGCAATGCCAGATCAATGCTGATCTGGCTTTCCTGAACAGCTGGGCTGCACCCACCACAGCCCTCTGGAAGCTTCAGCAACACATGCCCATCATCCCATGGCTCTGCAGCCAAGGCACCGAGGAGAAATGAGGCTGTGCTGGACAGGAGCCCAGGAAACGTGCACTAAACCTGCACTTGCCCAAACTGCAGCCTGTGCAGTTCCCAGGACAGATCCTCCTGCACCATCAACGGTACCAGCCCTTCTAGCAGCCCTCCCTGCAGTGCCTTTTAGTGCCCCCAAGCCAGAGGGATGTTTCCTGCACCTGCCATTGCCTGACAAGAGCCCTGGGGAGCAGCTGCCAGAAAGAAATGCTGAGCGATCTGTCTTCCCCATCTGCTGGTTTTTGGTTCATTGTGCTGCAGAGCTGCTCCAGGGTGATTCTTGCACGACAGTAGTAGGTTGCTGCATCTTCTGGCTTTGCTGCCAGGATTTGCAGTGGGAATCTGTTCATGAACTTCTCATCTTTTATCTTAAAGCGATCTTTGAAACTGTCGCCATAGGTGCCATCCTCCTTGTAAATCCATTCCTGAGAGCCACTTGGGCCCTGACGGTACCATGAGATGGAGTAGTACCTCATAGCATCCCCCTTCATGCGGCACTGCAAGGTGACTGCTTTTCCCTCTTGCACGGAAACTTCCCTGGGGAGCTGCTCCAAGGTGGCTGCACTAGCGAGAGACACTGCTGCAGAGAGCAACAACAAGGCACAATCACTGCAAGATCCAGCAAAGGTCAGGGCAGTGCTGGTGGGGCTTTGGACGGGCACTGGAACTGTGGGAGGACAAAATCCTCCTCTTTGAAGCCAGCTGACACAGATGGGCAGAGCTGGTGGCAGCTAGCAAGGCTCACAAGGAAGGAGATACCACATTTCAGGAAGCTTTTCCTGAATTTCCCCAAAGAAGCAGGAAGGATTTGCACCATGGGGGGACAAATTCCTTTGTCCTTGCCAAGACAGCATGGTGAGGAACCCCCTGTGCTGTCTGTGAACCTGCTCTGGGTGAGCACAGCAAAGACAAAGGGCTGTCCCAGGCAGTGGGGCTTGTGCCCTGTGCTGCCATGCCCCAGCTGGTCTGTGCCAGAGGGGCCGCAGTGCCCCAGGAGCAGTGTCCAGTGCCAGGGCAAAGCGCTGGGCCCCGAGATCTGAGTGCAGCTGGGAGGTGCCCTGCGTGTGCCCGGGCTGCAGAGGAGGCAGCTGGGATGGAGGTGCCGAGCTCAGAGGCACAAGAGGAGCAGGGCTGCTCTCCCCATGCTCCACAGGCATGGCTGGGCAGCTCCAGCCGGGGCACAGCTCTGGCTGCAAGCGCTCAGCACAGCTCCCCAGAGCCCTGCAGAGCCCAGGGCCACGCTCAGCTCCTGGGGCCATCAGCCCTTGCCTTCACTCACCTACAATGGGCAAGAAGCCCACGCACAGGGCACTCCACATGGCCAGGCCCGCTCTGCGTGGCCTCTCTCCAGCTTCTCTGTGCCTGCACAGCAGCTCTGCCCACACCTGCCCTGCCTGGGCCTCTGTCACTGCTCTCAGGCCCAGTCCCTGCTGGTCCCTCCCTCTGCCTATGACAACAGTGAGGGGGAGAGGTGGGGCATGAGGAGCAGAACTTGAAGCTCCTAGAGCCCTCCTGGGCGTCACTCATCCTGTGTGGTACAGTAACAGACCATTTGTTGGGCAGGAAATGCTGTGGTGAGCTAAAGGTAATATGGTTCTTAATAGCCAGCCCTGGCCTTTATCTCAGGGAGTCTTGCAGGGACTAGTCTTGCTATGCTGGGACTTTGGAGCTGACCAGGGAGGCTGTTGGCTTGTCCTTCCCCTGGCCCTGGCTCTGCTGAGCTGCTTCTCCCACATGGGACACCCCAGGACCTCAAATCAGCTTGGCCAGAGCACCCCTAAGCCAAAGTGCTCCTCACCCTGCTCCCTGCACTGTGGCCCTGCACCCTGCTGGCTCCCCAGTGATGTCACTTCTCCAGCTGCCTCTTCCCGTCAAAGCCCTCCCGGAGCCCTGCCCAGCAGCAAAGGCAACCGAGCACTCTGCAGGTGCTTTGCATGTCCCACTTAAGAAGGGGACCAAGGAAGGCTGAGTGGGACTGGAGCCAGGCAGTCACCAGGCTGACTGGATGACAGAAAAACCTTGAACCTCCTCTACAGAGTAGAACATTGCAATTGGGACTCAGGAGAAGGAAAGCCTCAGTGCTGGGAAGGGAGCTCTTGATGAAAGGCCAGGATCCCTGGTGCTGCGTGGGGATGGCACCTGATTCCTTTGGAACAGCCCTGTACCACTTTGGAATTCACCATCTCCAAATTTCGTGGGTTCTGAGCCAGACCCGAGCTGGTTTGTGTTAAAGCCCAGCTGGGTTTCCTGTCCCCGTGTGAATAGCGCAGAAGTAGCGGGCAGAGTCGCGGGGCTGCAGGGTCAGCAGGGAGAGATAAGTATCGGACCGGGAATTGTCCCGGGAAATCTTGGCCCGCCCCTCCACTGACTGGTCAAAATAAAGAACTGTCGGATCAAAACTAATAACGGACACCCACTGCAGCCGGTCATCGTTTGACTGACGGTACCAATAAATTCCATAATTCCTAAAGGTGAATCCGGAGCCGTGGCAGGAGAGGGTGACGGAGTCCCCGGGCGCTCGCAGCCCTCCGCCGGCCTCCTGCAGCCTCGGCTGTGCCCAGAGCCCTGCGGAGGGAGAGCGCAGCAATCGGGCAGGGCCGACCGCGGACCGAGGGCGCTGTCCCGGTGTCCCGGTGCCCCCGGGCCGGCACAGCCACAGCCGCCAGCCCCGGCCCACGGCCCGTGTCCCTGTGTCTGCCCCGGCCTTTGCCCGTGTTCCCTGCCCTGCCTCTGCTCCTGGCCTTTCCCCAGCCTCCGACCCTGTCCCCGTCCCTGTTGGTGCTCCTGTCTGTGCTCCTGCCTGTCGCTGTCCCTGGCCGGGCTCGCTGCCCTGGCCGCCCGGCTCTCACCTGCCGGCCACAAAGCCAAGGCCAATGCCAGCAGCCCCGGCCCCGGCGCGGCCACCATCGCTGCCGGCCCCGGCCCCGCTGCAGCCGCACGGGAGCCGAGCGGAGCCGCGCTCGGGCCGCTCCCGCCCGGCCCCGCCTCGCCGGGGCAGCGCCGGCCCCTCTGCCCGCCCCGACACACCCGCCCCGGGCCCCGGGTGTCGCAGGACAAGGGGCGGACTCCGGAGAACGGGGATCGGCGAGGGACGCTGGCAGCTGCGTAGGCAGAGCAGCAGAGACGCCCAGGAGATGAAGGCTGCTGTCCCGGGGCTACCAGCACGCCTCCATCGCTGTCCCTGTTTCTTGCTCTGGGAGCCCTTTCAAAGGTCTTGACGCCTCAGTTCTTTTAACAAAACCCTGCCAAAATTGCAACAGTATAGAACATCATCAGGGTGGGGATCTGTGCATCTTTTCTGTCCTGAGTAGAGTCCTCCCTGAGGCTGTGACATTGTGGGGTTTCCAGTATCACCCCAAATGTAATATTTCATAACTTCTTATCACCTTTTTCGTGATGTTAATAAAACAATTCTCTATTCTGAGAGATTCATGCAGTACCTTCTAGCTTTAGAGAGATCCAGCGCCCCCTGGGGCAAAACGTCATGCATCAGAGAGGGTCTTCAGGAATTCAAGTAAGGCGAATAGTCTGGAGAAAGGAGGCTCTCAATAATCTTTGAATGATCATGGTGTTTTGGGGAGGTACCCGAGGACTGCTGGAGAAAAGCAAATGTCACTGCTCTCTGCAAGAAGAACAAGAAAGAGGACCCAGGGAGCTTCCCTCAAGCCCCGAGACGCTGATGGAGCACCTAACCCTGGAAATAATTTCCAGGCACATGAAATACAAAAATGTTTCCAGAACTCACCAAGGGAAACTCACACTTTACTGAGTTGATAATGAACTTCTATGCTGAAATTATTTGCTTTGTAGATGAGGGGAGAGCAGGGTGTATTGTTTACCTGGCTTTAGGAAGGCTTTCCTTCCACACTGTCCTTCCAAATTAGGTCCTCCTAAGAGAAACTGATGAAGTCTCAACTGAATGAATAGATGGTGATCTGGACAGAACAGTGGACAGACAGAGGATCCCTAATTGTTGTGGTCAGTGGCATCAGGTCTAGTTGGAAGTCATTGTCTAGCAAGGCACCCCAGGGGTCAGTGTTGGGTCTCTTTTTAGCATCTTGAGCCATCTTTAGGAAGATGGAGATAAACATGAAAACCAGCAAATTCTTTAATGAAACAAGAGTAGTAGGAGGGGCTGCTACACAGCAGAGTTGTGCTGCCACCCAGAGGGGGGACCTCATAAGGCTGGAGAAATGGAACCTGAGGCAGCTCAAAAAGCTGTACTAATTTTCCTCACTTTTCAGTGGGATTTTTTTTTTTTTTTTTTACAGTGCTACTGATGGCACAGGCAGGGGTATGCTTTAGCTGTTTCTCAATAGTGCTGACAGAACATCAAGGCCTTCTCTGATTTGCCCCAACAGTGAGTAGGCTCAGGATGGACAAGATGCTGAGAGGAGAAACAGCCAGGACGTGTGATGCCAAATTAGCATTCTGGTGGCCCCTTGCTCCTATCCCTGAGTGCAAAACAACAGCAGGGTTTCTTCTCTGCTGACAGGAGCATTTTTCTCCCTCGTGCCTTCAGCAAGGACTCTCCTCACTGAAGCTCCTGAATGGGCCAGAGAGACACTTCCCTGCACAAAGTGTGGAAAAGACAAATTCAGCCAACAGGAAATCTACATTATTAAAGCTGTGTTTCTGATCCCAGTGGGCTTTAGGACAGCTGGATTTCAGCAATCTCCATTCCAGCTTCAGAAGAAAAATCACAGAAAACCTACAGTATTTTGGCCTGGTATAACTTTATTCTTCTCACTACTACAAGAACCTAAAATGCACGTGCAATACATTTGGCTGAAGAAATAGAGGCTTAATCAAGAAATTGGCAGTGTCTGGTTGAATTAAATAATTCCAGATTCTACAGAGCTCTTATCTGCATTAGACATTAATGAAATCTATCTAAATCCAAATCTACAAATGGCAGCTATTGGGCTTGAATACCTAAGCAGTGCCAGTCTGTCGAAGAAGGGAGAGGCGACACCAGATGGTCATCAGCAAACTCTCAGTTTAATGATAGTCATACACTTGGTTAAATACAATACTTAATTAGCTCATGCATAGTGCAAAACTATAGCTCATCATTGGTTAATGTGTTATTTGCATCATTACATCATCTGAAGGTCTCTTCTGCATTTTTGTGATTTTAGAGCTAACTCTCAGTCCCTAATTCTGCAACTTATTGATACAGTCTTACCGAGACTTTCCCTCCTGAAGGACACCCTGTCCTTCAAGATATCATTAGCCTCCTTTCCCATCTAGTTTTATCAGGCCAGTTTGACTGTGTCCTTTCTCATCAAGCCATTCCTGCACAAAACTCTCTACATTTCTGTGTCCTTTCTTATCAAGCCATTCCTGCACAAAACTCTCCACACTTCCTTCGACACCAGTCCAGTTCCACAGGCAGAAACACAGCAAGCCATTCCTGCACAAAATTCTCTACACATGTTCTCACCTCCTCCTCCTCTGGCTAGGAAAAAAACGTGCATGCACACTTTTAAAACATTTTTTTTCTTAAATATGTTATCACAGAGGCATTACCAGCATCTCTAATTGGCCCAACCTTGGCCAGCAGCATGTCCGTCTTCAGAGCCATCAGGGATTGGCTCTGCTGGACATAGTGGAAGCTTCTACAGCTTCTCACAGAAGCCACCTCTGGCTGCCAAAAACCAGGCCATGCAAAACCAATGCAGTGCAGCAGATCTGTCTGGAGAAAATAGTCATTTAGATTCCCCAGTCATCCATTCCCATCTCTTTTTGAATACAACTGGATAAGAGCCTCTTCTGGACTTGACAACCCAGAGTTTAATTACCCAGATGAATCACTGTGGAGAAACTGAGTCATCCCATGTCCAGAGAGAACAGAGCAAAGTTGCTTTGCAGAGCCCCAGGCCTTTCTCTGTCAAAACCATTAAGCTCCTGCAGCTGATGATAACAGAAAAACATTAAATTTTAAGCAATGAATACAGCTGGTTTTCATCTTCCACTTGAGCTGTAAACTGAAAATTCCCACTCTAAATCAAAGCTTGTGGAGCCTATAAACTCATACATGACAGTATGACACAGATTTTCATTTTATTGTAAGAAATTTCTTGAGATTTGAACATTTATCTCTGCACAGCTAATTGTAAATATGCTCAGTCTCTTAATCGACTCTGAAGTTCAGAATGAGGGGGAAAATAAGAGAATTTCTCCATAATTCTCTCATTTCTATTGTGAAATTGTCATCAAAGGCCATTGAGGATTTACCAGAAATTCCATCTGTTTTCAAGCAATTGCATCTTACATGTTCTGTTTTTTACAGGGAGTACAGTAGCAGTTACCTTTATCCCCATATATTTTAATGACTCACAGTCATTAAAAGTCACGCTTTATTGTTCTAAGAGAGCAATATTCTATTTCATGTATATGCATATTTGCCTCTCTTTATTTTTCTACATGTAGTTATGAGACTTCTTTCACTTTACATACCACAGTTAAAATATATTTTAGCGCTTAAGCCCATAAATATTATGTACTGTATATATACACACAGGAGATATAACAGTTGTTACTACAAAAGCAGCTTCCGATGGCATGTTGTCAGAAAAAAAAGCAAAACGTCAAAGGCTGTTGTTGATAGTTTATAGATATAATTAGGTGAAAAAGAAGAGCCTTTTTTTTACTGTTATTGAGTGATCAGAACCTGCTTCTGTGGACTGTTTTACTTAATGTGCACCTAGTAGTAAGAGCTGCTCATTGGGTGTAATTGTTATGGTTCCTGAAAAGGTTTATCCTGTCAAAATCTTCTTTCACACAAGCATGCTTGGCTACCTTACAGCTGTGTCATGACATTGTCTAAGACTTGGTTTGTGAGGCAATTTACATTTTCTGAAGTGCTCTTTTTGCATCAGCTGTGCCACTGATTTTTTTAAAACTTACTCATGAATTAAGATAACCAAGATGAGATTCATCACCTACATACAGATGCCAGATGTGCCTCACAGTGTCCCACCTGGCCCGCAGACATTGCTCCAGAAAAAGACATATGGCTTGGACCACAGTCCCATATTATACCTGCTATCTTGGCTACCATGTGGCATCTCCAGCTGCAACAGACATATGTGTTTTGACAGCTGAACCTTGCGCCTAGAGAGTGATCCAGTTCCAGATTGCAACACCTGAACCTGGGTGTCTGTGTTTCCAGGAGTTGGATATTCCCTTGATGCTTGTGCTGAACTGGGCAGCAGAGTCTGGGAGAGCAAGGCAAAAACGCATCAGTTTCCCGGGGGCATCTGAGGGCCTTAATGTTTCTGATCAGCCCTGTCTGGGTCCACTAATCCTGCATGTGGACCCAGGAGTCCCATTTTAGCTCAGCCCTTGGCATAAATTACACCCACAGAGTCATTCCCATGCCTAGGGAACCCATGTTTCAGCTGCATCACCTACTCCTCCCATCTGGATCTCCCAGACAAATCCTTGACCTGGTTCAAACCCTTACCAGGTTGTGGGTTGTCAGTGAAACCTCTTACCAGTCACTGTCTCTGCCCACCTGTCCCAGACTGTGCAGGATGGCATCCATCAGTGAGGGCATAACCTCCACTGGCGTCATTTCTGGTTCCTGGTACAACCCTCACCAACTGTTGTGAGGGTTCTAGGTTAGTTGTCGAAAAGCTGGCATCTGTTGCCACTTGCAAGGCCCTAGTGTCTCCTTGCTGGTTAGGTCTCTAAGGACCAGCTGTGTTTGCTATTTGTGGATGTATCACAAACAGCACTAGATAACTATACTGGAGTGAATGGTTTTGACTACTGGATTTTCTTAATTGCTTTCCTGACTCCACAGGTTGCTCTTAAGACATCTACATTGTTTCTATGACAAGGGGAGACACCCAACTCATGTAGACAGTGATAAGCGTCTTAATCTAGAGTTGGATGAAGAACATGATTAAGAAAGGGAGCTTCAATATGTATTACATATATTAAATTCAATAACATTAAATTC